ACTCTTTATGATCACTCTTAACTTTGTCTAGAACAGCGAAAAGTACTACTTTATATGTAGGAAATCCATAGATGGAGAAACGTAATGTTATAAAATAAAGATGTGAGAATGTTGAAAGAATCAGAATTCTTTCTATTTTATTTAATAATAAATAAATATGTTAATAAGTATCTCACATTATATTAAATTAAGTTGATGGAAATAATAATAACAAATATAATTATCATGCTAACCTTGTACTTCGTTCTCATGATATTCTAAAATAGAACGTGAGACTATAGCTCTAAATATCATATTAATTAAAAGAAGGAGAGGTTTGAGAATTTTCCATAATAACGGCGTGCATTTTCTAGTTTCTTGATCTGTAATGAGCATTCAATTAATAAATAATATTTGAAAAAATTTATAATATAAAATTAATTAGATTTCAATAATCACCTAATGAATCTTCTTTTAAAATCTGGCTTAATGGACATTTTTCCCAATATAAAAACAAATCAATTGAAAAAATATGAATTCTACACACAAAGATTGATACTAATATTAATTATATTGATTATAATAATCAACAATTAATAATAATTAATCAACCCTCAAAAAACAATCTTTAGATACTTTTCAAGTAAATCAATAATTTCTTTCCTCTCCACTATTTTAACTAATTTTGAAATTTCTAAAGAAACCCTCGACAAGCTTCTAAAGTGTATATCATTAGACTTTTCGATCAGTGATTTATATGATTCTGAAGATTGCTAAGAATAATTGTATCTTTAGAGATATATTTTTTAAATAAAAAATAAAAGAGATAATTATTTCTTTTCTACCGTCCAAGCATGATTTGTATTTGATTTAATGTCTCGTGTAATTTCATCAAGAAATTTGCCACTATCAAAAATTCGTAGGAAAGTATCCATTATTATTTAATTTAAGATTTTCATGCAACAAATTTTGTCTTACTAAATTCAGATATAAAAAGTTTGATTGCTTATATAGTAATAGAAGAAAAAATAACATAAATTTTTTTTCCTTAACTTTTATATAGACGTTATCATTTAGTACATTTAGTATTATTTATTAATAATTTTGGGTTGTTATTAATTTTATAATTATTTATATACAAC